AATCCACGATTTGGGACAATCTTGACTTCTTAACAGACTTTTCACCATTCCAAAGTATCTGATATGCACCCAACTTAAAGAATCTCAGTTCCTTAAGATCTAATCTAAAAGAAGCCTGTCTGAATTAGAGAAAATTGTTTAAAAATTCTAATAAACAGTTGAGCAGAGTGGTTCCTAGACTCGACTAGGACTCAAGTTTTCCTCTGCCAACTAGTTTTATGACATTGGGGACTCTTCTTTTGGAGTTAAATGAAAATGGTTAATACACAATTTCTACACTATATTGCGAAAGAGCTTTTTCCCCTCCAACTTTTTCTTTTTTTTTTTTGAGGTAGGGAGGGCTTCACGCTTGCTAGGCAGGCACTCCACCATTTGAGCCACTCCACCAGCCCCTTTTTTGTGTTGGGTATTTTTGAGATACGATATCTAGAACTGTTTGCCCTGTCTGACCTCAAATCGTGAATTTCTTCCTGCCTCTAGAGTAGCTAGGATTGCAGGTGAACGCCCCCACCAGAGCCTGTTCCCCGCGCCCCCTCTCCAAAAAAAAATTTTTTTTATGACCCTGCCAGGTGTCAGTGGCTCACGCCTGTAATTCTAGCTATGTGGGAGGCTGAGATCAGAAGAATCACAGGGAAGTCAGTACAAATAATTTTCAGACCCCATCTCCCAAATAACCAAAGCAAAGTGGACTGGAGGTGTGGTTCATACCTGCTTTGCAAGTATGAAAGCCTGCATTCAAGCCTCAGTCCCATCATAAAATTAAAAAGAAAAAAAGGAGCAAATTACAAGTTTTTTATGATGCTGAGGTTTTTGTGGTATGCTCGGAATTTTTTTTTTTTGTGATGCTGGGGATTATGTGATAGTGGACACTATTAACGCCTTTACTTGTAACTGTTCCAAGAGGCATCGTTCAACTCCATCCAGCCAAATCCTGGCTTACATTCAAAGCCTTAATTTGGAGAAGGCTATGAATAGACAAACAGGAAGAAAACACAGTTTGTAAAAACAACAAAATTGCAGGAATACTTTGCAAAATTTGTAGTGATGAAAGGGCATAAAGACAATTGTTTTCCCGTACCCAAGAGTTGCACCAATTTATCTGAAATTCAATTACTGAACAGAGCTGTGTTTGAAGTAGAGAATAAGGAGGAACCTGGGGATGTAACTCAGTGCTAGAGTGCTTGCCTAGCATGTGCAAGGCACTGGGTTCAGTCTTCAGCACTGGAGGAAAAAATAAGGATGAAGAAGTCATAAAGTATTAGTTACTTGTAAGCTTCCTTTTAAAAGAAAGATTTAATCTTCTTAAATATGCATATGATGTAAGAGACAGATACTTGGTTATCAGTCTTATCCACAATTTCATGTTAAATCACATGTCACAGAAAGTTGAGTACATGGTCCTTCTTTGAGCTGTTTTTCCTAGTAACAGTACCCTATATAGGAGGTTTCTAGAAGCAAGGTAGAGACTGGTTGAGTTCTAGCTCTGGTACCTAATCTCAGTCATTAGTTCACTAAGCAGGTGTTCTACCACTTGACCCATTCAGCCAGCCCTTTTTTGTGTTGGGTATTTTCAAGATAGTCTTTCAAACTCTTTGCCTGGGCTGGCCTTGAACTGTGATCCTCCTGATCTCTGCCTCCCAAGTAGCTAAGATTACAAGCATGAACCACCAGTGCCTGGCACATTTGTGTATGTTTTAATGTGAAAATAGGTAAGATAATGTGTGTCTATCTAATGTTACAGGATACTTATAAGAATGAAACAAAAATATAAAAATATATAGAAAAATCAAACATTGCCATATAAATGTAAAGAACTTTATATCTGTTAAATATAGAGTGATGGAGGGAAGAAAGACCTTTAGGGAAGGCAAGAAATGAACTGAAGAACAGCTGAGCAGCAGTGACAAGTCTCAGAAAATAGATGCCGTTAACCACTTTAAAACATCTTCCTGTACATTTAGGAAATGGATAATGAAAGTTTATAAGATTGCTGCAAGCTCCTATTGCCTAAATAAAATTTAAAATTTCATATTAAATCACATATCAAAGCTGGGTGCTGGTAGCTCACGCTTGTAATTCAGCTAGAATTCAGGAGGCAGAGATCAGGAAGATTGCAGTGCAGTGCCAACCCAGGCAAATAATTTTCAAGACCCTATCTGGAAAAAAGCCAACACAAAAACGGCTGGCAGAGTGGCTCAAGTGATAGGCCCCTACCTAGCAAGCATGGAGCTGAGTTCAAGCCCCAGTACTGACAAAAAATAAAAGTTTTTAAAAAGTCGCATATTACAATTTATGTTTTAACCCCCAATACCTCAAAAGAAGAAAAAAATAATAATTTTAAGCAATCTATGTGGAAGAAACATACACTTGTGCTAACCAAAACAAAGTTTCAGGCTTATTTTTGGTTGAGATGAGGTCTTTCTAATCCCCTCCCACCCCCGCCTCCGCAGGCTTCCAACCGTGATCCTCCTGGTCTCAGTCTCCCAAGCAGCTAGGATTAGGGCTTGAGCTACTGGCGCCCTGCTCAGGTTCTTTTTTTTTTTTCAAGCAAGGAATAAAAATATATCAGAAAAAGGCAGCCTGTTTGCAGCAGCTCTCCGCCTCCTAGAGAGATTATACCACAGAGGGCTCCAAGAGTCCAGAGGGAGTACGGGAAGAGGCTTGAAGCGCTCCAGCCTTGGATCACTTTTGCCCAGGGCTACGCTGTCTGGCGTCGGAGTAAAAACCACAACTCCCAGAATCCCCGGGCCGGTGAGGGGCGGGGCCAACGACGTGTGGGCGGGATCTCGGGCGCGCGGGGCGCTTCTCGCGCGAGGTGTTGCGCGTGGAGTGGCGGGAGCCGCTGAGATGGAGGCGCAGAAGGAGAAGGAATCGCAGGTGATGGGGCGGGAGCGGGGTTGGCTGTCTCTTGGAAACCGCGACTTTGACACACGCGCGGCGCGGGCGGATCTCCTGTGCATACCACGTTTACTTTTTCTCTCTCCTACTCTACGTCCTTCTCCATCTGCGAGACCCCCTCTGTCTGCTAAGACCCTCTAAAAAGGGCGCTTCCCTACCTTCTCCAGCCCCTCGAACCCAGCCACTCTATCATACCCCTCAGAGCCAACTGGAATGGGACTTCTGAACCCATTCCCCCTCCTCGCGGTTCACTGGGCTTCCTATGAGAATTTCACTCCTGAGCTGCATCCCATAACTCTGGGATCCTCCCGGCTCTGCGGTGTACTCTGTGATTGAGACAACTCGTTCTTCAGTCCGTGCACTTTCGAATCCCGTACTGAGCGAAGGTTTTCCAAGGGAGGGAGATTTTTAGCCTTTACTGCGTTTGCAGATTTGGGAAAGAATGGATTGTTTTGTGTGTGTGTGTGTGTGTGTGTGTGTGTGTGTGTATGTATGTGTATCTTGAGCACTTTGTCATATTCTGATGATGGCATTATAATAAACAAGGCTTATCATATTTGTCTTCCTTTTAATGGTTAGGTTGCTGCCTGGTTGAAAAAAATCTTTGGGGATCATCCTATTCCACAGTATGAAGTGAACCCAAGAACCACAGAGATTTTATATCACCTTTCAGAACACAACAAGGTCCGGGACAGAGATGTCCACTTGGTA